CCAAGCGTTATTGAAAGGGAAACCGTTTTATATTTCTTCCAGTAGGCTGAAATTTATCTAAATTTGTTGACTGAAAGGCTGTAGTGACATGGTTGTCATCTTTTTGGCATGGGAATGAGAAAATGGAAAAGAGTAATGCTCACTTGCCATCTTTATGCACACTTGTCACCTTAAAAAAACCTCTGTGTTTTTGTCACTCAGTTTCTTTACTTTCATAGTTTTCGTTATATCAAAATAATATCATTAGGTGAAAAAAAAATGTTTGTTGCTGGTTTTGAAACATTCAAAAAAATCGTCCAGTGAGTGCCTTTTTTTTCTTCTTTTTATTGGCAGAAACCAGAAAAAAAAAAATCATGAACCAATAATAAATCCCTTTTTTATCAAATTGTGAATTGTTGCCTTTCCAATTTATAGTTCTTGATATCGGTGATTTTTTTTTTAATGCATTACATAATCATTGTGTAAAATCATTAGCTTTCGATATCCACAAGTTTGATGTGAGAACATGCAAAAATTATACATTTGGTTTCAGTGTCGAGTGTTCTAGCAGGTATAGCACTGTGCACTAAAAGTAAGGGGTTAGTCACTTCAATGCACATGCCAGCTATAAACCTACAACATAAACAAATACATGTTCAAATTCTGCCGATAATTTTGATATTATTGCATCAATTTTCAAGTGTAAATAAAGTTACCAAAACAAGGAATCTAGGAAACCATGAACTTGTACTTGCAAAATATTACAACAAAGAAATAATGCAGAATGATGAAATTAAAAGTTGTCTGGCAATATATGCAATTTTTGTTACTGTGTCTGAAACATTCAAAGGAATATAAATTGTTGTATTGGTAGATAATGATTACATATGCATTCTTATTTTAAGGTAGAATGCAACATTGTGTTTTTGACATGTGTTAATTTTAGCGCATATAGCAGTGCCGATATTTCATGTCAAAATTTGTGCATAATTAATCGTTTCAGAATTAGTCAACATTATAGGGACATTTTTGGGTCATTATCAGTCTTTTTTTTTTTTTTTTAGAAATACTGCAAAATATTATGAATGAAATGTCATTTCAGCAGCGGTTTCCATATAATTGCCATATACTAATGAAAACACATTTCAAAAAAAATACTTATTCTTTTTCACCATATGTCACTGAGTAAATTATTTAGATATATCCTTTCATAGGAAGCAATGGTAAAATGCCTTACAACTGACATAACACAGTATTTTCACTGTAATAATCTATATTCACTAAAGCTGTGTACAGCGACCCCATATACTTAATTCATTTTATTCATCCTTGTTAGATGATATATCAAATAGGGAAAAATTAAGAAAATGACAATATTTTTTACTTCTGTGTAACTTTCTACCTTAACAAGTTTTAGATTTCACAGCCGCTTTAGCTTCCAATACTGTCATGGTTATTGTTCAGTCTCTGCAGATTTGTATAATTTTTTTTAAAGAAAGCATAATTCCAATCTGTAAAATATCCTACTAGCACCCTAACTACTAGACTTCTATGTAGGTCTGTCTAGTCTTCTCATTTCTAACACCGGTTACATTAACTTTTCTACTTAAAGATGTATTTTATCTTTACTCTACCAAATTCTTGGAGAGTACATTGTATTTATATTGTCGTTTTCTATTGTATTTCTAGAACAGAAAAAAAAAAGCTTTTGTTTCATGGCACCAACACATGGGAAATGTAATTACCCATCATGCTTTGTATATGTAGCATATTTGCAAAATGCTTTCAGGAATCTCTGATTCAAAGTTTAGTAGTAATCCTAGTTTTGTTCATGCAATTATTGTGAAAAAGTCTACTGTGAAAGTAGTGTAACTTTGTAAACAAACAAAAGCAATGTTCAAGTGTGACTGTGAGGGCACAATTTGTGAGGAGATCAACTGTCGAGTCGAAACATTCATTGCATTTTTATAAGGTATATTGCTTGTATCATTGTGTAATATCTGCCACTAAGTTGTGCCAATTTGAAAATCTGTCTTGTATTATTTTGGCCAAGGACAGCCATGTTGCTTTCTTTTGAGCTGTTACTGTAATGTAATTGCTTATATGGTCATGTGACACGTCAGGTGCAATAAAGTCATTTTATATCGATATAAAAATGTGGTATTTGTTTGATCTATGCATTTGGCACCATTCAATAGGATTAACATAATCCAATGGTTTTAGTGAAGTATTTGATTATTCTATGACATAGGTACATTGTATTATCAACTGAGTTAGTCAGTATAAGAAGAAATTTACTCCTTATACATACCAATAATAATCCTGTCATCTGAATAGTATAATAATAATGACTCTTCTTACTACTGCTACATCTCATCCAAAGGTATATCATCACTTTCTGGTTCTCCTATACATCTCACTCGACCATCAAGTCAATATTATTTGTATTAAATTCCTTGTATTGACTAACTGAAGAAAAGAATGCATGTGATTGAAACATAGGTGGAAGAAATGGCTTGAATGAAATAGAAACAAAATCATTTTATAGCGAAAATTAATTCCAAGCGAAAATAAAGTATTTTGCAGTATATTCAAAATGAAAGTGTGCATCACGCTTGTGAGATAGTGCAAATGGGTGACTTTAATTGTTGCGCCGAGTACAAAATAAGTCGTTTCCGAAGTTTTGATAGATAATCCATGTAGTCAAAGGCAGTATTTCTTTCGTGCACATCTCGTTCTTGGCAAAACTTGTATTCGTGTCTGTCATTGGGAAAATGCATCAGATAATAGGAAAATTAACGTATATCAACACAAGCGTCGCACATGCGCAGAACGACGACCACCACCCTTGAAATGAAATATACGAAAATAATTAAAAAATACATGCTATGTAATAAATCAGATTTTAATAAGAGAACTGAAACCCGTTTATGCTTTTAAGATGTAATCTTTGTGTAAACACGTCTTATAAGTTGCGTAGTGGCGTAAAATGTAATGTCTAGTGTGCCACTCTGGGATGCCGACATTTCTCGGCTACGCTGTCATGTTTCGTGACTCGAAACAATTGTACCCCTTAACTCCATGATCATGATTGCTTCTTGGCGTACATAAAACCACAAAGTTAAAGTGGCCATTTTATATCTACACACTTCATATTGGTTGATTGCGCGAGTTCGAGCAAATATTCATTAAGAAGCAAAATACATAGATACTATATATTTTCACAGCGCAGTCAAACAATGAATGTATTGTTTGAGTTTTTGTGAACAAATTTGGACATACGTGTACTATTGATCGTCAATTTGTAGGGGGCATTGTGTACATAATAATTGAAAATACATGGGCTTGATATCGAAGAGCGTGAATGCAGAGACCGCAGTCAAAGTGATGTGCACATGCACTGCCAACGTCTCCGATACGCTAAGGGATAGACCATTATTTTTACGGTGGGTGACTGGAATTTCAAAGCAGGTCATACCTCTATATTTTCCTACTCAGCGATAATTGTTCAAATCACGTGACGGTTATCCCACAATTCACGTTGATTGTCTTTTTTTCTGAATTCATTTCCTAGCCTAGTGACTCAATAGAAATATTGACCCATCCCTAAACATCATGCCTGCGATATGAGTGGTAAACAAGCATGTGTAGACGGTTACCCTGGCTTCAACTCATATATGTAAAATATGGACATCATCAATACCGTTCTCGTTTGATGGTCTGTTATTAAAATCGTGAACAAAATCAATTACACGTAAAATAAAAGAAATATAATTTTCGCTGCTTCATATTAAGTCTGGCTTTACAAATATTTGGACAATATTCACGATTTTACATTATAGCAAAGGTCACAGTAATCATTAGGCTTGGGTATTGCTGCCAGTGCTTATACGACAGAAATGTCCTACATTTTGGATTTTTTAGATAATACTGTAGTTGGAATTGGGGTTCTTACATGCATGGAATTTACCTCTATGTTACATGGAAGACATACCTCAGGTATTACATTCGAGTAGAGGGCTTAACATTGGTTCCACAAGAGTCTGATAACGGAAATACGTCAGTTAGTTGTTTCCGAAAGCTAAACCAAAGACTATAGAGAATAGAAGATAGCTCAACTGATCAGTCTGATACACTTAATCGCTAGACGCGTTTTTTTTTTCCGCGGATGCCAGTACCGTTATCGACAGAGTTTAAACCGGCATCTCACTTCGTGTGTAGCATATTACTTCATCAAGTTACGACAACGTCTGCGATCATACTGAAGGAAAATCGTCATTTAATTCAAGTCTCGCGTTATGTAATTTGAAAATTATTTGGTAATGCGTAATTTACACATTAGTTCATTGGGGTAGTAGTCACTAGTAACCAATATTATAATTGTGATGCAAGAGTAAATTTAAAACACACACACCGGCATTTTCATACAAATTTTTTTTAAATAATTCACTGCAAAAAGTACATTATCTGTTGCATAGATTCTTCACTACCTGAAGCACAGATAAATAAGAGGCATCAAAACTGGTTTGTATCAAATATTATAGTAACCAATTCTAATTGTGCGATAGTCAGCCTTATGTCGAATAAATAAATAAATAAATAAATAAATAAATAAATAAATAAATAAATAAATAAATAATTAATTAATTAATTAATTAATTAATTAATTAATTAATTAATTAATTAATTAATTAATTAATTAATTAATTATTATAATTAAATAAATTATAATTATAAATAAATAAATAAATAAATAAATAAATAAATAAATAAATAAATATTTATTTATTTTTGAATATTCACTAGGTTGGTTATATTGGACACCGTATTACTATTTGTCCGTACATGGAACGCGGAATTTAACATTCCATACATCGAGACAACACGTCAGTGACATGGAATCGAACGTTAAGCCATCACCTGAGGGAGCTATCTACATAATAATAACACATTGTGGTGTTTTGTTGTTATATTTACGTCCGTCACTAGGGCGATGCATAAAGCCGCTTTGCACACGGCACGGCTGGGTCAATAATATCTATCGTGCGTTGTCGTTCATGAATAACCGACTCATGGGTCCGTGACCTCGGTGCTGGACTGGTTTATTTCAAATCGCCGGGATCCAAAGTCAAATTGCAGAATTCTGGAATTATAAACACAACAATGTCGGAGCAGCAAGACGACTCGATGTATCAGGACAACCTACCAGGTGAGTATTTCCGTACGGTTTCCCAAATCGTAATAATCGCGTCGTTACAGCCACTATGTACTACACGATGTTGTGGTCTTAAAGCCCGTGTTATCACACTTGTAACGCAGACATGTATACCCATATCATCTGACATATCCGCTGATGGAGTCGACACAAAACACGGCGACTCCGATGTTAAACCAGCTACGATTACAGACTTAACGCAATAGGATTTGTTTATACCTCAGCGAAGGGTCACGCATTTAAGTATGCTTGAAGGTATCCAACAAGGATGTTTATTGTGTTCTCAATGTTATTGCATAATGCCGTTTTGATGATGCCTGGCGAGTAGGTATGTGTCAGGTAAACCATGGAGGCACCGAGCCCACGGGGATACCAACGAATTGGGGTACTAGTTTTTTTAGTTTTGACAACATATCTATCTGCAAATATGTTTATTGCCATCGTTCCTACGTGTACTTGGTAGGCATTGCTAAGAAAATGTGCGCTCTTAAAATAATCAGCTATACCGGCCATATATACATTAAAACTCATCCCGACCCGGTAACAGAGCGATGCATAATCATCATCGAATTTAGAATGACACATCTCGAAAACTGTTGACATTTAAACGTTTATTTAAATATACAAAACATAGCGGGGGTTGAGCGGATTCATCCTTATCACAATCATAAATACAATAACACTGATGAACAATTCTGGCTTTCTTGATGAATATATTTTCTGGGATGCTGCAAAAATGAACCATCTTTCTCAGTGCCGAGCAAACATTCCAGCTACATAAGTGTATACTTACTCATGTTTCATCACGTCGATTTAAACTAACGACGATGACAATAACAAATCCGTCGTATAATGAAATGGGCCATTCATTGTTTAGATTCACGCATGAATAATTTAATAGAATTAAGTTAGTTGTTTTATTCATAGCATTCGTAAATTCAGGTTATGTACTATTTTTTTTAAATACTTCCAGACATAAAAAAAGGCATTTTCTATTTTTTTCGAATAAATACTATACCATTTTATTACTTTAGTTTAGCGTTTTACTATAAGTTCTATATGATACTCCGGTCTTTACTTCACTTGACAATTCCATTGGAAAACTTAATATGAACCAATACTAATATTCTGGATATATATTTGTTGATTGTGGTGGGATACTGTTGCCATATCAATATCGTGGTAACAACTCATGACCAACTAGCTGTCTTGGCATGAAATAATGCTTGCTTGGGAACTATATCGTTTCTTCTGACATTTAGCGCGTTTGGGTCAATTTCCAACACTGGCACCTAGCGTGGTTCATCACATTTTCGACACAGTCTTGCATAACTAGATTACACGGGGAAGTTCAGAGGGTTTTAATTTATAGTACAGCTTTTCTGTTCTGCGCTAAAATCAATACAAAACAAATCCCATCCAGTTCGTAGTATAAAGCCATACAACGCACTTTCTGGACAACACCCCGGATGTAGATTGACCCCGGATGTAATCTTATAAATCGCGTGCGGTAGAATTGTCAATTCCACATAAACCACCTGTTGCACGCGGACATATTATAGCTATGATTATAACAGCCACACATGTCGATGTTTAGAAAATTCGTCTCTATATATAGACGCGTTTAGTGTTCACATCAAACAGGACATAAATACGTAATTTATGACTGCGTTTTATGTTTAATTGACGCGTTTGATTGAGCAGTGTATATATCATACTGTTTCAATTTATGATACTAATTTCCATAATATTATAAGTCCTCTGTAAGTTTGGTATTTCAAACGTAGATGCATAGATATTGGCGGCCATCTTTGAGTTTGTGGGAGATTCATGGCAATCTATATAAGTAATTAATATGTAGGACATCTCATGACGTCACATGACATTTTTTCAGTCCTATTTTAAGAATAGAGTTGAACCAACAAACATTAGGAACACATGCATATTACGAGAAATGACTGAACGCGATAACACATATGTTTACACATGAACTGTTTTCCCCTGAATTTATATAATATCAATTACGATATCATGTCATAAGTTACCATAGACACAAATGGCCGACAAGGTCTCGTTGGGAGCGAGAACCACGAGACTTGTTTTGGTCGCTCTAATAATGTTCCATTCTCGTCCGCCATCACGTGACGTTCAATGTTCTCCTCACATGTAATCATGGTATTTGGGAAAGTGGACCCGGCGACGGGAAAGAGTGGAAAACTACTGAGAAGCAAAAAACAAGTCTTGTGAAACGAGATCGCAGCGGCCATTTTATCCCAAAGGAATGACACACGTATACTTAAGACAAATGAAAACAATCCAAATATATACGTGTAATTATTAAACAGATTAAACATGACGTTATACAAAAATAACAAACTTCTGAATTGTCCGTCATATAATATTCGGGAAGGGGGTAAGAAATACAATAAAGAATACTCATAATGATCTTCGACGTACTTATCGATGACTCAGGAGCTAACTGGGATCGGGCACTATGATATTGTGTATTTTGGGAACACAAAGAAATCATCAGATAGATGCTTTGATCGGTTCAGTGTCGATCGGTTCGGGTCAAATTCGGTTTGCCGTGTGACTACTTGAATCAACCACGCCTAGATATGGGATATTGATATCTCATATAAACGTTGTTGAACTTACGCGGACTGATTTACGTTGTTTAGTGTACCTGGTTAATGCTCAGCGTGTGTCGGCAAATACCAGGGTGCCTCACATTGGTCACTTTCTAAAAAACATAGTGCCGTTGCTCATATAATAATATAGTGTCTTCTCCACTCCATGTCATTAAGACTTCTGACAAACAATAAATTAGTCGTCTGAGCTAAGACACACCCTCCCGTATATATATATGAAATTGATGATGAATGAAACTTAAGTACATCATGATTAGATTTAATTACAGTTCAATTTGAGTGCAAGCTTAAACAAATATAATATCGGGTCTATTGTTAAAATTACAATACAACTGTTTAGGATTGCAATTAACCATAATGTCAACACTTATTTCCTAACATTTTTACTACTATTAAAATAACATTGAGATCTACGCAAAGTGAACTTCACTACCATGGTGGATATTTACTTACAAAGGTGTTTTCAGTAATATGACTTCACCTTTCATGCAATTACACTATACGTTAGCTTTATCGCAAATTAAAACAGCCTTTGGAATATGGCGCTGCATTGTGGGAAGGGATTATATAATGATTTTTCGATACTTTTCGCTCACGTGCGGTACATTTCCAGGCATACCCGCACAATTCTGTCAAGAACTCCTTCCCGCCGTTCTATGATATACTCCGACGAGAGAAAGGTACACATATTGGCTATTGTTAGTTTCTTTCTCAGCGACATAAACACGGCGTGTTATTGAATCAAGTGGCTGACAACGTCAACAAAAGGTTGTAAGGTTTAACTGTAAGATAACCATTATGATTGGAAGTTGACAGACGTGTGGTGTTTTTAGTCAACCAAATAACAAACATAATATACCATTACTGTGACCACAAAAAAGTATTGACAGGCGATATCGCAGTAGTGAGACACGGTTTTACTCAAATAATTTCCCAAATTCGCACTATGTTCTTTTGTTGGTCACACCCAATAGTGTGTAGTTAAGGAGACCACTACGTTCAAACTAGCTTGGATCTGATGTATGCTTTGACCACCACAGCCAAGTTTTTTTTTTTAAATTGGCAGATAAATTTAGGCTATAGTTGACCTAACGAGTGTTTAATGAAACATATAACATTATGCAAAAACTAGGACTAAGAACATTGTCAGCAAAACAGATTATATTAGGAGACAAGGACTTCTCCCCTCTACTAAACCATATAATTATAATTGTTAAAAGAAATATCTATACGTGTAAATTAAAAAAGGAACTACCATGCTTTAATCTCATAAAATCTGATATACGTTACACGCAAAAGATGGAGTTAGAAAATTCAAAAAGAAGACATACAATGTCAATTTTCCTGGACAAGTTGAGAGACTTTAATTGTTAACGGGTATGCAGTGTCTATTTTGTATGGGTTATATCAGCTTTGACATTTGTTGTATCTTGACATTGTGCTGTAAAGAATTTCTATTGTATGCAATAAAGAAAGATAGTTATAAAAAAAAAAAAAAAACATTATGCAAAAAAAACAAACAAACAAAAAAACATCACTGTGCCCTTACCATATAACGCATTCAAATACATAACAGTCCTATACGTGCAATGTAGATTATAGCGCACAGATAAGTATATTAATCCCACGTACCGAGGTTATTTATAACACTAGTATAATGCTTTCACTTCAATGTTCTTTATTTTTGTTAGTAAAGTGTTTCTGGAGATATATAAACAGTACATTCACTGGTCACTTAAATTAATGAAAATATACAAACTGATACGATGTCTCGTAAATGAACCGTAAATAAATCATAAATTAATAATTGCTATTTATATTTAATATCGCGCTGTATACTTCAAACGTCTTTGTTTACTCGGTGAACAATATGATAGTAACGAACGGTGGTTGCCAAGAAAACATTACAAAACATTTGAACAGAACTGAGGAATTCGTCAGGTTGTAATTTCAACATACAGAATACGTTGAGTCAAAGGTCACGTACCTCACTGTAACATATGCTTACAACCAGTCATGTGTTTCGTCATAAGATGTTACAATTGTTAAAAAAGGATTGCATTGTTATTCTTATTGGATTGAGCGGGGGGGGGGGGGCTGACAACGTGCTGCGTAACTCAATGTGTCTGCATGATTTAGCCCGTTTATCCGCCTCATTGCCTTCACTACAACAAGGTCTTGTACAGTTACCGACCTAAGTCCAAGTTCAACCTCAAATCATTACGGGTGACACGGGTCCTTCGATACTGGATTTATGGCGTCTGACCCCATCATTGTTCTTAGCATTTCATGTAGTGTTTATGATTCAAAAACAAGTCAATCTGGCCAATACAAAGTTATACTCGAGATACGATACGATTACTATTTTGATATGCGTTTTGATGAAGTTAATCAATATATTTTAAACACAGCGACTTTAAAGGAAAATAAAATGCCGCAGTCGTCGTGCATGGCGCTTTCGAACTTCGCGTAAATTAATAGTGTATTTCACACGCGTTGTGTACGTCACGAGGAACCCATTATCGAACACGGCGCGACGTCTATGATGTTACCATATAATATAAACTATCTTATTCCCGCCATTCTTACCTCCCCTGTTATTTATTAAACTAATGATTGTGTTTATATTTATTTCCACTAGGTACGGTACCGGAAACGGTACAACCTGTCCCGACTCCGACTCCAGCTGTCCAGAATCAAGACGATGTTCCGCCGCCACCGGCGTACTCTGTCAACGGTGCGACCCAACCAGGTGACGATTGGCGCACACTACAATCTTACACACAGGCGGTACCCGGGACGATGGCTAATGCTAAGTCAGGACGTAAGACCCAACTAGTTTATTGCGTAGTTAGAAATAGATCCTAGGCGTAAACCATTAGTCCATGGGCTAGGTCAATTTTAGTAGATTTGGTACCAATTGTGAGTACTAATGACGTCTAGTACGACTGGAATTGTATGTTGTATGTGTGCATATTTTTCGGAAATGTGTGATGTAATGGTCAAATCAATAGCTTGCTCGAAATTTGGAGAGGTTAAGGTTCACCTGTTATTGTTAATTGTAATTTTAGCAATTTTGCCCATATATGCTTTTACACTTAATATGTGGATAATTGTACAAATAACAAAGACACATTTTAGAATAACTCACTCACAGGACCACATTTATTTTGAATTATTTTAAGGATATGTCGACTTAAAAAATCAAAAATGTCTTAAAATTAAGATTAGATTACGTGGATGGTACTTTATGAGACAAATCGTAAATACCTGTTGAGTCAGGGGAATGAAGAACTCAACAATAGGTGATTTTCATTCCAACTGCAAGATCTCGTGAGTTGCGTGAAAGACGCACACCGAACGTGTGCCGAAAAAAACGAACGATTTGATTTTGAACTCGAATTTCTTTATTTCGTAGCTCACATCGAAAGGCCGATCTTTGACAGGGGAATATAGCGTTTAGATACCCTTACTTCATCGAAATTTACCATTATCAAATGTTTACAGAATAATACAGTATAATATTAAGCATGGAAATATCCCCAAAATACTTTCGCGTTTGTCAAATCCCTTGCGATGTTTGTCCCCATTACGACGCTATGACCTTTGTTTGTCCTGCTTTTACGTTCGATTTCACGCATAACGCGGGATCTCGCAGAGAACGGAAAATGGTCTATTGTAAATATGGTAAATAAGCTATGCACTCCGACCACATTATGTTCTCTGTATATGAGACGTTGCCATATAATATCTTATTTAAATCTTCCCCTACGTCTAAGTAGTATTATAACATATAGCAATACCAGTTTATACGTTGGATAATATTAAAGTATCATGCATATGGATATTTATCAATATGGGAGACATGTCTTATTCATAAAGCCAGTGGTCTTGTAAATTTGAAATCTAACGAAAAAACTTGATTCATGAATAATCGTCCAATGTGCAAATCACAATTTTTTAGAATAACATCAGAATAATTGTTTTGAAGTAAAGACAAAAAACAACTTTATTCGCGCATAAGTTCAAAATGTAGGTGGCGCTGTGCTTATTAGGAGAGTGTAATTTATTTTATATTTTATTGAAAAATAGTTAAGGCAGAATAATTATGCCCATAATTTAACCATTAAAATCACAATTTATATTGTCAAATGAACTTTGACCCCTGCAAATATTCGATAAGCTACTGATTTGACGGGTTCAGCAAATACTTTACAACATCTAGAGCTTTTTAAAGCTATCCTA